TGAAACCAAAAAGTTTCCCCAGTTTTAAGCACTTCAGGTGACTGTTGTCTGTGAAATGTGCCTTACACCTTTCCTTCCTTCCTTTTGTTCTTCCTTGAAATGTTATGGCTTTGCTTGCAATAAAGAGATTTATATGGTTAATACCTTTAAATATTTTTTACATAAAGTACCTAAGGGTCCTTATGTACCTTATGTACATAAGGGTCCTTACTTTCACTTTGAAAAGTGTAAGGAAAACGGTTAGTTTCCTAAAATGTGGGAAAACGTCCCTAAACCCTAAGAGTAGTCAAGTTATCATGTGTTTTCAAATAGTAATGGAATTGACCAGATGCCTAGTCTCCAAAAATTAATAAAACATATTTTGGAGCGGATGCTGGAGGTTTGGTTTGGTGGAGTGGCGAGAGGAGGGGGGGGGGGTTTGAGTTGGAGCTACGGCTAAGCTAACAAAATTATTCAAATGAACAGATAGTTTTGTGTCAATTTCATTTTACTTTATTCTACTCTGTTCTTTGCTTTAATTTCTGGGGGTTTGGGATGCTGTGAATGGAGTATATGTTTACGAACCAAGGCTGTTGAATGCAATCATGTCTGTTTTGATCATAGTAATATCATTCTCATAAATAGACACGCAAAAGTCTTCCAAAACTTCCTCAAGCAAATTATTTTGTGTCAGTGTAGCTAATGAGCCTCTCCACCTCTGGCGTCATACATATTCAGTTCCCAGATGTCTGTTGAAGCATTCCCTTACAAGCGTCTTTGACATGTGATATGTTTGAGCACGTGTTTGGTATAACACTCGTGCACACATTAGTCACAAACGATCAGATCACCGCCAGAGGGAGGGTTTACCTGCCACTCCCTACAAAGAGCGAGAAGTGCAAATGAATGTGCACTCCACAACTGCGTGTCACATGCTAAAACCCAATGTGAGAGACTTTACACTTTTCAAAATCAACAAATGCACTGTTAAGTGGAGGGGGCTGGGATGAAATGTTGGAGTACTCAAAAGGTGCAAACGGATGTCTTTCCGTCTGTGTTCAAAGGTTTAAAATAACACAAATATAATTAAATAAAACACATGTCCATTAACAATTGAAGAAGTGGTGAGTGACTGGTCAACTGCATTATTAAAGCTAAGGACATGTATAATTTATCTCTGGTTTTATACATTTACATTACATTACATTACAACTTTCTACATTCAATCTTTGTACAACTTTACAAGATGAACAATTAGAAAGTGGCATTTTCAATTCCAAGAAATGTTCATACAATATTACAAGAATAGCTGTTTTTATACAGCTAATGGAGATCGTAATAAATACAAAAAAAAATACAAATACATGAAAGTTGTCTTTTAGGGGGCAAAACACTTTTTAAGCGGACATTACAGGTTTTTCCCTTTTTTCTAAATGACCCAGGGATGTCTCTCTACAAAAAGCATGCCCATTATTCAGTCCGAATGTAATGAGTGAGTGAATGGATGTTGTTGGTTGTGGCTTTGAAGCACCAGTGTCTCACCTCCGTCATTACCGTGTGTGGAGAGAATGGAAACATAGCTGAACTCTGAACATTGTAAATCACTTTGAGTGACCTTGGTCTGTAAAAATGTGCTATATATAAACATTACTTACTACTATTTACTATAGAATTCTACAGGATCAATCAAAAAGGTTAATTTTGCATTGTTGAGTTAAAATGTTTCTTGGAGAATGACGTTGTTAAAATATTTTGGTGACATGTCATTTATCTGCTGATGTTACCTCCTTTCGCTCAATGGTCTCTGGAGGAGGTTAGTCGCTGTGGTTTCCCTTTCTGATTTTAATCACATTCTTGATCCAGCGTTTGTATTTGTCATTTTCAAATCTGATGGCCGATGCCCCGTCCCAATCCATAATGTGGGTATTTCACTTCCAATAATCTGAAATGGCTAATTTGAGGTTATCCTGATTTGCGTGTTCCTTCCCGGCCCTAGTGAGTCTCCTTTTTACCCTTTAGTTGGTGAGGATCAACCGAGAGTGATTCAATCCCAACCCCAAAAAACTGCACTATAAGGTCTGTTCTGACCATTTCGTAACAGGTAAGAGCTAGCTAAATCTGTGCATGTGTGGTTTAAATTCAGAGCTGCGATTGGACTGTGATACAATGCATACATGTGCCTCAAGCGATCCCCTCTAAATGAATCAGAGGAGAAGGAAAGGGTGGTAGACAGAAGCTTGTACTGCCGTGGGTCAGTGATTTACGGCCTGTGATATCGACTGCTTCGTTCAAAACAAATTAATGATTGAAAGAAATATTGCATCATATACATCATGACCTTTTTTAATTGTTTAACTGCTAAGTGAAAGTAAGCCATTTCTGGCAAAGTCCACTGGTCTCGCCACATTTCATTTGGATCCAAATCTCTGATCACTCTCAATTTCTCCAAGTATCTTGCCTCACAGATTACTCCAGTGTATCAATATGCTTAACGCGGTCAGCGTCGGCCCAATTCGTGGCTTTAGATGACATGGAGACAAATAATCCGTGACAAATGATCCGTGCAAAATAAGCTTGACACTTAACATGGCGTCCGCGCCATGGGTAATGCCCACGTGGGGGAAAACCATCTATTGATCCTTACATCCACTGGGTCACTACAAGGTCAAATACGCAAGAACATAAACTTTTTTTCACCTAGTAGTGTTTCCAATAACATATTTACACCTCGTCATGGTTCTACACCTGAAAAAAAGCTTTGTAACAAAAACTGGCACTTTTACAGAAATGCTCATTAATGGCCATTGTCCCTGTTCAAATAAATACATTTGAAATAGTAATAATAATAATAATAATGATAATAATAATAACATCTTTATCAAAACAATGTTTACTAAGCGTCAGTCATAAAAAACAGTACCAAAACAATACAAAGTCTAAATAATTAACAGAGATGCAGGAAAACAAAGCAGACAGTAAAATACAACATGTGAAGTTTAAATCTTTTGGTTAAAAGATGTTTGATGTAATTGGGTTTTAAGAAGTGATATAAAAGAAGATACTGATAGAGCTAGCCTTATCTCCTCGGGCAGGTCGTTCCAGAACCAAGAAGCCCGGACAGAAAAGGCTCTGTCACCTTTCATCCGGATTCTCGACCTTGGAACAGTCAACAGGAACCTGCCCGAGGATCTAAGGAAAATGAATAATATTAATTCATCTACTTCATTATTTTATTTTATTTTATTTTATGAAGCTTTTTTTTAATCTTCTATCATCTGTTGTTTTTCAAATCTTTAGATATACTTTTTTTAAGACAGAAACAAAACAATGTGAGATAAACAGCCAGCGCAAAAGTTCTTTACAAATGTATGCATGCATTTCTGGGTGTTGAACAGTTCTCATTGAATGCTGCTGGCAAACTGAAGGACCGACTTGTATAATCACATTTTTACTGAGTTCCCCTCCCTCTCCGTGTGACATGACAGATTTGGTTGCGTTACAAAATGATGGCTGGTCTATGATCTTCCATTACTCCCACATGCCTTCAAGTTCAATGCAAAAAAAAAAAAAAGAAAGCAGGAAAGACATACTGTGAAAGGAACAGCTCCAGAAATCATGGCAACATATGGACTGTCTTGCCAAGCTGTCACGCCTGTCACGAAATATGCTTGGGTACACACAAGTTTCAACTGAATAAAAAGTGTAAACATGCGGCGGGCTTGTGAAGATTGGTTCATTCAAGCATCATTCACCAGACTGTGTGAGAAAAGGGGGACATCTTTAAAGTCTCTAGGAAGTTTTTTTTAAATATTTAGCAGCTTTATTTCTGATTATCTAAAGGCTGGAGAAAAAATATTTCTGAAACAAATGAGTGAAACTTGAACACAAATGTATGGTAGAAAAAGCTAAACTACACAAAGCCCTTTTCCCCCGTTCCATACGTAACATCCACACGCATCATTCATACTCATGTCTGCCTTTCCCCTCCGTTACTAGTTTGCCAAAGGTGCAACTTTGCATACCTGAGCAGGTTAAAAATACATTTGAGCATACTTTTACACACCTACCGGTCTGTCGCGCTCCTCTGTCTGTGCGCGAGAATCAAACCGGGACACTACTTCCTGGTGGGTTAAATGTGCCCTGGGAGCACAGGGATCATGCCCATGTGATCCGCATAATTCAATGTACATGTTTTGACTGTTTTTAGGACTTCATGTTTGATTGTATGGTATATTTACTGTATATGTGATGGGCCATCAGGGGATGGGCCCATATGTTTGTTTCCCGTTTACGCTTCCATTTTCTAATAATATGATTTGCTCAATGGGAGAGGCAAGGTGGAGTATAAAGAGGGGCCGTGTTTGGCACTCCGTCAGTCTGCAGCTGGTTACAGAGGAGGTAACTTGACAACTTAAAGGTGACCTATGTGTCCGTGTGAACGTTGTTTTTTCTGCTCATTGCACATACATTCTTCACTGCCTTCACCTATTTTTGCACTTTGGAGAATGGCCAATAAACACGCCAAAGCACTGGAATCCGAGCTCGCTTATTTATTTTAAGTAATCCACTAAAATTATGTATTCATTAAAAAAAAATTAACCTCCCTTTTTGTAAATACTTATACCTAACTAACTGTAAATGTAAAAAATAAAAATAAAAACAAAACTAGTGGTCTAAAATGGAAGTTTAACCCTGTTTTTTTATTGGAACGGTCTAAATATAAATAACAATATAAAACTCTAGGCTCAACATACGGCTAGTTTACAATTATATAATCATGCATCTTCAGTTTGTTTTGAGCAATAGAATTTCAGTGGTAGCAGTGGTTGGCGCTTTAATCCCCTTGTGTCATTTGGCAAACATTTTCACCATAGATATTGATTGGCAATAATAATGCAATGATAATGTATTTCAAAACTGTATCAAATTCAGTGGAAATATAATCTTTGCTCAAATATGGGAAAAAAAGATCACTCACTCAGATTATGGATATAGAAATGTTATAAGATTTTTGTTCTCACCCTGGCGAATTGCTCTGGATCTCGCAGAAACACCGTCCTCTCCTTTGCGATGCTGTTGCTGTGGTAAAACTCCACCAGTTCGTTGAGCGAAGAGAAGAGCTCGTCCCACACGTAGTACTGACCACACCGATCCTGGAGCACCTTAAAATGCTGCACGTGGTCGCCGTAACTGCAGAGAAAACACAAGTTACAGTCAGTCAAGATCTCAACGACTTGAATGGGTGAGGGGGTATGGAATTTAAAATGTTTTCTTCATAAACCGCTTTTCAAAACTGTTATTCTTTTCTTGAATTGGGGGTTTTGGTGTGTGTGTTGAAGAGGGTTTTTTTCCCTAAAATGTGTCCACTATCAATTACTTTTGGGACAGACTGGGGCCGTGAGACGCTATGCAATTGATTTAGTAAAGGGTGAGGGTATGTGGGGAAGCTGGCCCGAATGAGACAGGAGAACTCGTATCTAAAGTTTTGAACAAAGCAACAAACCGTCCCTTGGACTCCAAGGGACAGGACTACAAAATGGCTGTCTGAGACACGCCCTCTTCAACAGGTACAAAATACATGCATTAAAAGGGGACAAATTAACCTGCTTTGTCACAGGGTTGGATACAAAAGGTTTCCAGGCGATTTGGTATAAAAATAAAGATACAGCATTATTCTTGCAGTAAGAAAATAAAGCGGCGACTGTGGCTCAGTTGGTAGAGCATTGACCTTTGAGCCTGAAGCTCATGGCTTCGACCCCACTGCAAGACCTTCTCTACCAACTCCCACTGATGTCTGCTGTCGTTGTGTCCCTGGGCAAAACTCTTAACCCACTTTGCCTATAAGGAGCGCGCAGAAGTAATGTTCATTGCACTTGGCACTTGTTGCAAACAACAAGTGCCAACATAATGTCTAAATTATGACACTGTTGGTTTGACAGCAGATGTTTTTTGTAGACCTCTGTTTTATAACTTTCAGGGCTCCCCCTGTTGTCTATTTCACATAAGCCAATTCTGAGAAAACGCAGGAGCCTTAAGGAGTTACAAAACAATACTAATTTTATTTTTTACTAGAGCCCCCCCTATCAGACTCCTATCTTTCCGGGAAATTTAATCAGATAAAGATGTATTCGAGTGCTTGAAGAATAATTGAGTCATGTCCCAAAATAGTGTGGAGAGTCATTAGAGCAGTGCCACAGCGCGCATCTTTTTGTGGTGATTAAAAGAGTTTGGCTGCTTCATGTTGGCAGCCACTCACCTATCCTGCTGTGATGCGGTTGCCAAGTAACGCGTCGGTTCATCCTGAGAAAACTGGACGTATCGCCACAATCTCTACATTATATAACTGCATCCAATATTCAGCGGAAGTCCATGCAACGCCCCCATAGTTCTAAAAGCATGACTGAGTAGGTGTGCGACTGGCTGGGATGTAAGTTTATTCACAGCCTGCAAGTTTACAGGCCAATTTTAAAAGCAAATGCAGGGATTTAGCTGTGTATCACTTAAAATGTGTATGGCTTTAAGCCCAACAGAAAGAGTCTTGTAAAAAAAAAATGCTGTGAGCAAACCAGACCACAACATGCTGTCGTCAACTTCAGAAAACATGTTTTACTTGTGAAAGAAAGCCCTGGAGTTCTTTTCTTTTTCTATTTTTCTGTCTGAAAAAGATGATCTAAAGATGTGACGGAAGGCAAATATACATGCAAGTAAAAACTTGTTTTGAAAGATATGTAGCCCAGCTTTAAGAAAAATGTAAATACAGCAAAAATCCATACTTTTACTTTTCCACAATGTTAGGTTCACAGATAGTACACTTTCTAATATTATTTATTTGTTCAGTTTACCTAAAACAAAAAACTATGACTAGGTGGAGTGGGAAGGACATCTCTAAAAAAAAACATTTGAAACATTATAAATTTGTTCCTTTATATTATTCAATTGTACTGTGACCCAGGTCCATACAGAAATGTCATCTAATGCAGCATCATAACTTTCACAACGCTGCATAATAATAAAAAAGCTGGGGTAACTTTCAAACCACAAAAAATTGTAAAATAATCTATGTTAGTATACTTCTCACTAGAAGATTATTTTAGTATCACTTGTTTTCAGATGCAGATATTTTTGGCCTTTCTCACATCTTTAGATTGGCTTCAGACAGAAAAGGACTCAGCCAATCTGCTCTCAGCTCAGAGCATAAATTGTAATTTATGACAATTAATTAATTAATTGATTAATTGTCATGAATTATCATTTGTGTATGCAAAATTGAGATGTTTTCCAAAATATGTTTTAAAATATTGTGCTATGATTTGTTCACAACATTTCACATTTAGAACTTTCTTTCTGTTGGAACAAACAGCATGTGTTATTTATGAAACAAAAAAAGTTAAGTACCACAGCTTTAAATGCACGTTTTAAATATAAAGCTGTACAGGTGTATTGAACATATGCTATTTGTTTATAAGATACAAGAACCAGATATATTATAACATTTATAAGTCCCGCAGAAGGCTACCTTAGTAAGTGTGTTATTGCAAAGATGACTGTTTGAGCCACTCACTTCTGTACATTTACCGACAGTTTACTGGAGTGAACAGTGCGCCCCCTGCTGGTGGGAGTTACCACCACAAAAAAAGGTGTGAAAATGGTAAATCATCAGGCAGGATGTGGGGGCATCTATAACTTTCCCACAGTTTAAGGGGATTTTTTTGTTTACTTTGTCACTACTTTTACATTTACTATCTTGTTGAAATAAAACCCTTGGGCATTTTGAATAGTAAGGAGTTGGAAATAAGAACTCTTAATTTGGAATTTGAAAAAACATTCACATACATTTGCATAACATAGACCAAACATTCACACAGTTTTAGCTTTTCCACTCTACACTACAGGTACACAGTAATGTAATAATGCTTAACCTCAAGACAAACCTATATCTATTTTCTATATATTTAGCGGAAGAATGACATGGAAGAGGTGAGAAAGCAGATGTCACACTCTTTCTGTGTCAGGTAGACACCATGTTAACCCTTTCCTCCCATAAACACACTAAAGCCACTATGCATCTGTCAAAGGCAATCTCCTCTGCGTTATCCCATGTAATTAGTACGTCCCACTGAGATGCCGATGGAGATGACAACTTTGATTACAACTTGCTTCAAAAAAAGAATGGGGAATGTGAGATAGGAAGTGAGTTTCAAACTTTTACCCAACGACAGCACATTCAGAGAAGGTCATCTGTCTATCTCGTGTTCTGGTTCCTACGTCGATCCGCACTCACTTTCTTTTTCCAAGTTTGGGGCTGTCTCTGCTAATCTACTAATCTTCCGCGCACTGTTTAACTGCACATCACTTGCTCGCTTTAAAGTCAGTTACTCAATTCAATGTTGGACAAGTATTACATAAAAATACTGATATTTGTGTTCTTCAGACTATAGTTACTTAAACTGCAACATTCTCTTTTCATCAAAGGAAAAGTGTGGAAACATGATCAAATAAACAATGTTGTAAATTTTATTTTGATAATGGATTTGCTTTGCTATGTCCACCATGGAAATGTTGTTGGATGTTGATAGGGAACTGGTGTTGCCTGCTTGTGATCAGTTTAATACTTTACTGTGGAATATCAAAAGATTGTATGAATTCAAATCCAAATAACTTTATGTTGTCACCGTGTCTACGTGGGTTTCCTCTGGGTGCTCAGGTTTCCCTATACCACATATGTATAAAGGATGATGCGTTGCGTCCAGTTTCAATGCAAAGTCAATGGTGACGTTGGTCCGTGTGAGGAATTGCATGTGCACCGCTTCACGCACATTGCGACGCCGTTGGGTACGCGGACTTGATGCATGCGGCAAAAGCAGGAGATGAACATTGTTGAACTTTTTCCGCTGGCCACTCTTGCGGCAACCAATCAGAGAGCCTCAAAGTGGTCATGGGGACACTAGCGGTCAGAGTGAGAGGATTGAAGATACTAATGAAGATACTCCAGAGCATCAACCTGATCAAGCTCTGGATCTATCAGTAGATCTCCACTTTTAAGTAAATCCCCACGCAATTTAGAAAATCTACCTACTATGGGAAATGATTCAGATGTGGAAACTTTAGATGTCTAAACCTGTGCAGTAATAAAAGAGAAATAGGTAATATTTTCATGAATTCCACTACAATCTAAAGATTACTGTCATCTGTATATGACTCAATTGGAAAACACAGATGGCGCCGTGGCAAGAGCTCTGGTGTGTGTCGTTGGTGCACACCGGGGTAGTCTGCAAATGGCAAATAAATGAATCTGAATCTGAATCTGATAATGATAACCTCTTCATATGAGCAAATCTGCTAAAAAACAAACATGAATTATTGTTGGCTATTAAATCAGATGAGATAAGATTGTATTTATTTAGCAATTTCTGTACAATAATATATGCATGTTTATTGTTGAAAATGTATGTTTTTGGTTTGTTTGCACACACTACCATGCAATTGTAAAGAGCATAATCCTAAAATTATGCCAAAACTTATTTTTTTATTTTTTTATTGGGATTAGTTTATTTGGTTGGGACAGTGCAAGTTAATGAACACACCTCTCCGGATTGTGGCATGGGCAAAATTGCGTCCGTCGTCCCACAAGCGCACTCAAACACACACTCACACACCCAGAACTATTGCACATGTTTTTGGTGGTAGGGGAAACCTGAACAACCCGGAAGAAACCTACGCAGACACAAGGAGAACATATAAACTCCACCCAGAAAATCCCTGTTCTGACCAGGATTCGAACTCAGAACCTTCTTACTGGGAAGCGAGAGTGCTTTTGTTCTAAAAGGCAAAAAAACTGCTCTGTACTTAATGTTATAGTGGTGGACAGGAGCTAACTAAAACAACTCCATGTCTGTTTTTAAATAGGAAACAACTCCATGCTCAATTTCAGGCAATATGTCTCCTTTAAATCCCGTGTGGTGCTTCTTCTGGTGTTGACAGTAACGCAAGCTCAGTCCATATTTTTTATGCCACAAATTCAAGGCGCCCCACAGGCACGAGCACTAATTTGGCCATTGAATTAGTCAGTCTGCTTAACTGGACGCTTGCTATCGCATCTCTGCAGGAGATAAGAGTCACAGCCTGGAGTTACTGGGTTACCTCATTTGTAGCCTGCTGGTCATCAATGTCAGTTTGCACTTGTGTGATGG